TAGTGATGAAAAAATGGGAGCTTCAGAGGTTAAACCCTGTGCCCAGGGTGTGGCAGGCGATGCCACGCGTGGTGGAGCCGGGTTCGCAGCCAGGCCCCATCCTCTCAACCAAGACGCCCTGGAGATCTGCTCCCCGACAGGGGCCGGCCCAGGCCCTGGCCACTGCAGGCACAAGTCGGTGCAGAGACTAAATCCTCTTCCTGCCCAGCCGCTGAGAATCGGTCCCGCCAGGCAGCTGACTGCAACTCCCGGTGACCCGCGGTCCGGGCCGCCGCCCTCTGCGCGACACCAGCGGGGCTCGGGCAGCAGGGGGCGCTCTCCCGCCACGAGAGGTGGACCTGACGGCGCGACCCCCGCTCCGACTGCGGGATGACGCCGCCCCCGCCCCCAGACCACCAGGCTTCCCCTCCGAGGCTCATTCCTTCCCCATCAGAGCTCACTGCTGCTGCTGCTGGCGAAGCCGGCTCCACGGAGATGCGGGGAAACCTCTGCCCCGGTGAAGGGTGCTAGGGAGGGGGCGGGACAGAGGTGGGAGGCGCTGGCCCTTGGCTTCGGGGTGCTGCTGTTACAATAGTGGGGGCCAGCGGCGGGGCCCAGCAAGCCAAGGCCCTCGGCTGTGCGCTGGGGTCCAGCCGACAGGGGCCTGGCTCAGCGCCCCGCACGGCGCGTGTCCGACGCGGGACAGGCACGCGTGGGCTTCCTTCCCCACGGTCCTTTCCGAACTGGCTTCCTTCTTATGGCCCAAGCACCAGGACAGCTGAAACGCGAACTCCTAGTTGGGGACTCAGACTCGTGTGCCTGCGGGGATGCAACAAAGAGAGGAGGCACCATCCTGCGGCTCCGAAGCGCATGTCAGGGGAAGCTGGGCGAAGAAGAGGGAAGCAGGTGGTGCGATCTCCTCCCCGCCCTGCTCTGCCCCTTCTCTGAGGACCCCACCGGCCACTTGCTGCTCTGGCGGCGGGGGAGGAGCAGCCGGCCCGGGGGAGGGCGGGAATCACGAGGGAGCCATGTGGTGGGCGCCTGGGCCCTGGCGACCCCGCAGCTGTCGGCTGCGCGTGACTGCCCCGCCCTGACCGAGCGCCCCAGGCCGCAGAGGGAGGGCGGGACACAGCTGCTCCTGCTGGGGGGAGCCCCACTCCTCAGCCCTCCCTGGGATCCACAAGTGCAGACCAGGGAGCAAAGAAGAGAGGCAGGAGGAGGAGGAACCGGATCCTACGGCTTTCTGAACATTCCAGATTTGGCTCGGGCTGCGTGGCCCCCTTGTCGCTGCTGGCTTCCCCCACACTTCCTGATTAAGTCCGTTTTCCCCGGGTGGCCGCTGCCCGGGACTCCCAGAGGCAGCTGTGGGTGGCAGGAAGCAACTAGTGTCCTGGCATCGCCCCAGACGCAAATCTAGTCCTTGATGGGCAGCACTGCTCTGCTCTCCACCCCACCCACGGATGCGTTCAGAATCAGGGGAGCCACACACCGCGGGCCACTGAACACCCCTTTCTGCTGCAGATTCGTTGCATTTGGCTTTGCAAGCAGCCAGTCTCAGAGCTGTTCTGATGCGTTTAGAGCTACGGCCACTGCACCCTGCACCAGCCAAGTATAGCTGTACTTCCTGTGGGCTAGTCCTAAACAAACACAAAAATCAAATGTGCAGCAATTATCAATCACCTACTGAATGCAAAAGCAGAGGAAGCAGCCTCACCCTGGAGGGGCTTGTCACCTAGCGGAAGAGATGACACCCAAATTCTTGGGAAGTTCAGTACCGGGGATTGGTGAATGTACCAGTTTCAGCAACAGTAGAAGAGATGTCACAGGTCCCTTTGTGATTAATTATCAAACGAATGTTTGTGACAGTGATGGCTGTCCTTGTCTAGAGGAGAGAGGGAGTGCTTCAGGCTTGTGTGGTCAGAAAAGCTGCACTGGGCAGGGTGGGGGCTGGGAGGAAGGCCTGGATTTGGGTTGCTTCTTGGAGGCTGAATGCATCAGATCCTGTAAAAAGAACTCATGATTCTTTTTTACTTTGGAAAATACATAGAATTAACCAGCCTTTCTAGATTAGTGCCTGATTCCAGGTTAGTGCCCCTTAAATCATCAGGGTGCCCATAAAATGTCATCTTATAAATAAGAATGACCTTTATGAGCACATACAACGTGCCAGTTACTGCATGGGGCACATTAAAAAATTATTTCTGATATTTTCAGCAACATTTATTGGAAGATCACCCCCTACTCTTATCTACAAATGAAACAATTGGGCTTAGAGAGCGTAGCTCTCTTGCCCAAGATCACATACCCAAGTCAGGCAGGGAGAAGCTGGGATTTGAGGGTTGTTAATCTGACCCCAAAGCTGAGGGGCTAAGATTTGCAGAAGGGGCCCAGTCTATAGCTATTTTCTAAGAGGTTTCCCATTTGGATGCCTAATTTCCTGCCTTCAAAAGACCTGGTCTCTTGGAGCCCTCCTAAATAACATACTCCACGGATTGAGGACCCAGCTTTGATATTATTTTCTTGTTTTTTTTTTTTTTTTTATAGGATAAGGGAAGAGAAGCCCAAACAAATATTGTTGCTGTAGGTTTCAGAACTGGGTAGGTCAGGGCCAGAAGAAACCATTGAGAAGGCAGGGATCCCAGCGACTCAAAAGTCCCTCCAGGCCAGGTGCAGTGGCTCACATCTGTAATCCTAGCATTTTGGGAGGCCAAAGCGGGAGGATTGCTTGAGGCCAGCCTGAGCAAGAGTGAGCCCATCTCTGCAAAAAAATAGAAAACTTAGCTAGGCGTGATGATGGTGTACCTGTAGTCCCAGCTACTCGGGAGGCTGAGGCAGGAGAATCACTTGAGGTCGCAGTGAGCTATGAAGACACCACTGCACCCTAGCCTGGGCAACAGAGTGAGACCCTGTTTCAGAAAAAAAAAAAAAAAAGTCCTTCAAGAGAAAATAAATGGCTTATTTCTCTAGATTTCCTATCCATCCTTGATTCCCTCTTCCCTTCCCTCTCTCTCTGTTGCTACCCGTGGAGGTGATGCTGATGAATGTGCTGCCTGCTCCTGGAGGAAGCTGAAACCTCAGCCTGTGGAGTGGGGGAAGCAGACCCCTCAACCTCCCACCCCCCAGGTCCTCAGCAACAGAGAATGGTACAGGGTGAAGCCAGCGGGGTTTGGGCTGCATACACACAGCACAGTTCTGACCTGTCAGTTTGATGGAGCTGAGTGTAAATCTCCCCCTCCCCTCTGCTTTGCTTTCCTGACTCTGCAGACATGAAGTGATTAACACCCACTTCTTTTTTTCTGTTTTCATGAAATCTCCAATCCACTTGGCACCTGTCTTAGTCTGTTTGGGGTACTGTAATAGAATACCATGGATGTGGTGGCTTATAAACAACAGAAATTTATTTCTCACAGTTTTGGAGGCTGTGAAGTCCTAGATCAAGGCACTGGCAGATTCAGTGTCTCATGAAGGCCTGCTGGTTAGTTTATAGGTGGCCATCTTCTCACTGTCTGCACTTGGAGGAAGCTTGATGGAGCTCTCTGGGGTCTCTGTTATGAGGGCACTAATCCCATTCATGAGGGCTCCATGCTCATGACTTAATGACCTCCCCAAAGCCCCACCTCCTAATAGCATCACATTGGAGGTTAAGATTTCAACATATGCATTTTAGGGGGATGCAAACATTCAGTCCATAACAGTACCCTTCAAAAGCTCCTAGAATTCAGGAAGATATACATGTTTCCCATTATGAAAATAAAACCAACATGTTCTAGAACAAAATACATATATGCCTGTAAAAAAGAGAAACATGAATCATCCCCTCTTCTGAAGATAGTTACTGTGATGTTTGGGTACACTTTGGTTGTAACATTCATACAACTGTGATGAAACTTTGTATCAAGGATACAACTTTGTATCCTGTTCACCCGCTTAGCATTTACCCAAATTATTTATAAACTCTTTGTGAACATCATTTTAATTACTATATAATAGTATATCATATGGATGTATCATACTTTATTTAACTTCTATATGTCTGACCATCTAAGTGGTCTAGTTTTTCACAATGGATGTATTTGTACATAGAGATTTTCAACATTTTAGTTTATAACCTTAGGATGGATTCCCAGAAGTGAAATTATGAGGCCAAGAGTAGAAACACGTTTAAGGCTCTTGATAAGTTTTTACAAATTGCTTTCCAAAAGAGTTGTACTAATTTATACTTTATTAGGAATCTATAAGCATGTTAAACATGTCAGACTCTTTCCAGTAATCAATATACTCTTTTAAAAATTAGTTTTAAGCCGGGCGTGGTGGCTCACGCCTGTAATCTTAGCACTCTGGGAGGCTGAGGCGGGCGGATTGCTTGAGGTCAGGAGTTCGAAACCAGCCTGAGCAAGAGCGAGACCTCGTCTCTACTATAAATAGAAAGAAATTAATTGGCCAACTAATATATATATAAAATTAGCCGGGCATGGTGGCGCATGCCTGTAGTCCCAGCTACTCGGGAGGCTGAGGCAGCAGGATTGCTTGAGCCCAGGAGTTTGAGGTTGCTGTGAGCTAGGCTGACGCCACGGCACTCACTCTAGCCTGGCAACAAGCGAGACTCTGTCTCAAAAAAAAAAAAAAAAAAAAATTAGTTTTAAACTACCCAAGTCTATTCTCCTTCTAAAATGAAGGGTTCCAGATCAGGCCAAGGTTCTTTGACTGTGTCCTCATTCTGTTCTACTCCTCGTCTCCATGTAAGATACCCGCGGCTTCTAGGTCCTTTACCTTTACACACATCAGTTCAACATACCATTTGATTATGTACACTTTCCAATATTTTAAAAAATGCATTTTTTTCCCTCCTGCTAGAGCAGAAGTTGGCAAACTTTCTGTACAGAGCCAGAGTAAGAACTTTAGGCTTTGTGGGCCATCTCTGCTGTAGCTACTAAACTTTGCTGTTATAATGCGAAAGTAGCCATGGATAATATATTATAGAAATAAATGTGACTGTGTCCCAATAAAACTTTATTTATAAAAATAGCTGTCAGGCTAAATCTGGCCTACAGGCTGTAGTTTGCTGACTCCTGTTGCAGACTGTAAATTATTTGGGGCAAAGGCCAGTGGATGCCCCTGCCCCTGGGGTGGGGGTTATCCACAATTACCCTTGGCAACCACCAGGTGGGAGGGCTGACATTTTTGATATCTTGGGGCTGGAGAGGGATAGAAAGGACATGGAGGCATCATTCTGCATCACCTCCTCAGTACTTCCTGTACCTCAGCCCTTCTAGTGGGAAGAGGGAGAGGACAAGGAAAGGACATTCCAAAGTGACTTGAAATTCTTGGGCCCTGGGATTGAAAAATTAAAGATATGCATTGCAACCTTCCTCTGCCCCTCACCCTCAGCTGAGCCCAAGCACAATTCCTCCTCTAGGCAAAGCGCATACCAAGCAGGGCATCAATAATGTCACTATAGGCAGATGAATAATAATAACCAGCAGTTCCCAAGCACTTACTATGCGCCAGGGCACCATAGCTTCCTATGCAATCCATCCAATAATCAAACTATATATAATAGCCTTGCCAGAGGTCAGCCCTCTGGTTACTCCCAGCGGGTAGATGAGGACATAGAATAACAGAGAGAATTAAGTAACTTGCCCAAGTTAGTGGAGCAAAGGACTTGAACTGATGGTATCTGGTGCCAATGCCTCCACTGCTCACCACCACTCTGATTGCCTCTGTGGCAGACACTCCCAGGTGCCTGCCCAATATTCATTCTACTCTTCTTCCTCAGCAGCAGGGCCCTGGACAATATGCTCAGGTGACAAACTACAGTTTCCAGTCTCCCATCCAGCTAGGTGTGAGATGTATATGGAAGCTCTTTGGCTATTTGTCTACCCTGCTGCTTGGAATATAAACGTGATGACTGGAGCTCCAGCAGCCACGAGGAAGCCACTCTGTGCAGGCCATGTGCTGAGAATGGCAGACCAGAAGCATAGAAGGATCCCAGGTGCTGCCTTATTCTCAATTTTCTCTGTTTTTCTTTCTTTCTTAACATGAGAGAGAAATAAATCTGTATCTTGTTTAGGCCACATCGATCAGTTCCCTCTTACAGGAAGATAAATGTAATTCCTAAGTGTTAAAACCTTGAAGAAGAAACCAGAGCTGCTCTTAGAACACACAAGAGATTTGCTAAGAGGAGCCCATCTGGCAGGGCCCAAATGCATATCTCATTTGCCATCCCTAATTCCAGAGTTGTCAAATGCAGTGGAACAAATGATTGACATATGTGTCACGGATTGAACAGCAGTGAACCCAAGGGGAGGGGAGGGAGTGGGCTAAAAGGAGAAGAAAAATCCCCAAGGGGAAGGGGAAGGTTTTCCTTACCAACTTTGAGAGGGATGGCCACACCAGGCCAAGAGCTGAGGTTGAAGGCCTTGTGTCCTCTGAGGAGCAGGACCCCACATTATCTGTGGCTTCTGAACAGATTAGACAAGACAACATGAACCTGAAACGAAGAGGTGCTGTTCATGGCCTGGATCCCTGTGCGTTGACTGACCACCCAGTCAGGTTGCTGGACAGTGAGTGACCTGCTCTCTCCCTCCCTTCCACTGGCTAGTGCACTAATAGTGGGGTCACTCACCACAGGGCCACATGGACGACATGCTCATGTGACAAACTACAGCCAGCTGGTGGGCTAGTGGAGGAATATCCCCACCCCTTCCCAGCAAATGAGCAGCACATGAAGGCCACCTGTCACCAAAGCTGAGGGGGCTTAGATTATTAAGTAGGGGCTGCCACTTGGAGATTGGGTCCAGGATCAAGCTGTCATCTTGAAATCAAGAACAGACTTTTATCCGCCATCGTCTCCATGCTCTGATCTCTATGAGGGGGAACAACGTAGACAAAGAAGAGATTCCCTGATTCAAGACCCTCAGGATCCCAGGTAGCAGGGAGAACTTTCCTCCCGGACGCTGGCGCTCGGTTCCATTGGGAGCCCCCTGCCTCTCTCCCAGGACCTGCACAGGGCACACTCGTTTCCCAAGTGGGTCGTCTGAGGCCAGGGGAGGGGGTGAGGTCAGTGGCAACCTCCTTCCGTGGGAGGAGAATCCTCACATCCAACTTTGGAAGAGGCCAGCACTGCCCTGCAATAACCTTGAGAGAAAGTCACCGACTGCCTGCGGCTTCACACCTCACTCAGCCTTGTCCTTGTCCTTGTCCTGACAAGGACACATTTCCAAGTTTTCCCTCAGACGACTCCCTATCAGGGCGATCTGTAGATTGGCTTCCAGTCGGCATATTGGCTGCAAAGATAATGTAGGTATTTTCAGGCAGCCCGGAGTAGAAAAGATAAGGGGGGCGAGCTGGGGAACTTGATGGAGAGACCGAGATAAATCTACTGTACCACAGGAAATCGAAATGCAAAAATACGGACCAGGAGCAAGTGAAATATTTAAAAAGACAGAGACGGAGCGGCAGTCCAAAGGAGCGGCCTCACCCCTTCCTTGCCCGAGCTCCTGAATATTGCAGAAGATAATAGGGTGGAGAAGGGCCCAGAATAGAAACCAGCCATTAAGGGAGACGGGATGACAGGGTTTGGCTCGCAAATGGGATTATAATTAGGAAAGGAGGGGGGATAAGAGGGGTTTGGGGTTTGCCTGCTCGGCCTCTGGTCTCACTTAGGTTATGGTGTCTGGGAGAGAGTGCTTCTCTGTGTTGTGGTTTCTGCCTCCAGGAGATCGTTCCCTTGCCCTTCCTCTAAGGGGACGTGCGAGTGAGGTGAGAGCCGCAGCCTTCTTGGTCGGGAGGCAGAGTGCGCATGTGCGTGCGCGTGTGTGCGTGTGTGCGTGCGCATGCGCGCGCGCGTGTGTGGCAGGGACGGGTGAGAGGTAAGGCTTGGCTGCTGTAACCACAGACCCAAAGGTAATCGAGCAGCGCACGTTAAGACAGAGTTTACTTCTCTGCTGTGTCACAGTTTGAGGCGGGCTTTCCACACGGTCGCTGAGGGGCCTGTTCCTTCCATTAGGCCTGTTTTGTCTCCGGGGCTGAGGCCGGGCTGCCGTGCCCCCGCCGGGCACAGGCTCAGGCGTGCGCTGGCGCCCTCGCTTCCGCGCACGCTCCTCGGAGGACAGCTTCGCTGTAAGGCCCTCCACGAACTGCAAGGGAGGCCGGGAACTGTCGTTTCGCCACGTGCTCAGGAAGAAGGGAGAGCCGTCTTGGGGGACAAGCAGCGTTCAGGGCCGCGAAGAGCTGGTAGAAGGAGGGACGGGAGTGGCTGAGGTGCTGGTGGGCAGCAGTCTCTGGTGGGAACTTGACAAGTGACAGAGCCGCCCCACCCGTCCTGGGGCCTGGGCACCTTCCCGCTGGCAGGGACGCCACAGCTGACCATGTTCCCCTGTCGGTACAGGCACTTCACTTCTCGGTGAAGGTGTGGTGACTTCTCTCCCCATCTCCTTGCAAGAGATCAGTCCCCTCGCCCCCACCCTACCCCGGCAGCAGCCTGGGCCACAGGAGGCTGAAATGCTTGTTGCCACTTATTCTGAATGGGAGCATCATCTTTGCAGAAAGCCTTCCTCCTCTTTCCTCCCAAGATAAGAACACAGGCCAGGATGGAAGGAGGCCACGTTAAACCATCAGCATCTAGCCGGGGAGGTGGGCGTTCAGGCTCAGGCGGGGAGCGAAGGGCAGGGAGGCACACACGGCACCCCTGCAATCTGCAGCAAGGTCCCTGTCTCTTTCAAAGGCGGGGATGGGGGGGGCGGGTGTTTCCATCCACCCCCCCCAGTCAGCTCGGGCCCAGCCTGCTGTTCCTCACAGGGCCTGGGTCCTCCGTGTACTGGTTGTCAGGCACTGGCCACCTCTCTGGAGCTGGTGACTTTGGATCAGTCTTGGCGATGCTATCTCTCCTCTAGTGCTGTCATCTCCACAATCAATACGCACAGCGACTGGCCACGGGGCAAGCTGAGTCTGATGGCGTCAGCCCTTCCCAACGTAACTTCATTCCCCTCTCTATTTTTAAGGATAAAATCTATGCATACAGCACCCGAATGATTCAGAGGGCATGGTGTAGCTTATCTTTTCATTTTTTTTTCCCCTTCATATCATCAGCTTGGCATTTCTTTAAAACAATGAAACTATTTTCTTTCTTTTTTTTAACAACCCCTTCCAAGTGATATTTTCTTTCTTTAGACATGAAACATGGCCTCAGAGACCTTGACTTGAAGTCAGAAGATCTCGGGGGATCTCCATAAAGAACTCGTCCTGGCCGTAAACAGTTCTCTCTCTGAGGTCTCTCCCCTCTGTGACCCGAGAACAGGATGTGTTCATTTCTTAGCAATTTGCAAGAAAGAATGTGTTTATCCCAGAAGAAGACTTTAATATTGTAACATTGCCTGCTAGGCCTTTCTAAAACTGCCAGCTTATGTCTTCTGGGGCAAGGTACCTGGATCAGGGTGGCTCATGGACTTCAGAGCTTGCCACTTGTTTTTGCTGAAGTCTGTAGTCTTATTTAGACTCAAAACCTTGAAGAAACCTCCTTCCTGATTCCCAAGAGCACACATCATTTCCTTCCTCTCCTGCTCAGCCCAGGCTCTTGTCAGCATACTCTCATCAGTCTTAAAACTTTGAAATTTAGGGTGCAAAGCTCTTTTCTTTCTTTTTAAAAATAGAATTTATTTTTCACTCTCTACACAAGTCATGCCAGTTCAATATAACACATGGAAAATCTGTAGTCACTAGGGGATTGAATGAGCCGGTCTTGAGGGGTGCAGCAGAGAGCACCTTTGCTCCTCCCCCTGCTTCCCCTGCACACTGGCTCTGTGGATTCATTTTTCTTTTCTCTTCTTTTTGGATACTCCCAGGTATTAATTAAGAGTGCTGTTTCTTCAGGTAATAAAATGTCAAGTCCCAGTCTCATAGCAAACTCTCATGCAATATAACTTCTCCCTTCCCAAGCTTGGCTGGTGGGCACAGGTGTGTGGTCAGCCCTCTCTCTGTTTCCTCCCTTACTCTCCCCTGCCTCCTGCCCTCTTGGTGGGCTGCTTTCCCCTCGTCCACTGTGGGACAAGTATGGGGACAAGCTTAAGGGGCCAGTAAGGTCTTGGTTGACTGGAACAATTGTCACCTGGTATCTTCTGGGTGTGTTTCTACCATGGGTGCTCTTTTGGCTTGTTCAGAGACACCATCTCCCCCTATCGCTGGGGACTTTCGACTACCTAGACATTGCTTCCTCCAGCTGGCCACGTAACAACTGCTCATTTACAGCAATGTGGCCATCTCACTTTTCCAGCAGGGAGCACCCCCTTCCAGGTACCTTTCTTAGAGGAAGTCCATGGGTGGTCCATGGGAAATGCACCTGTATCTTCCCACCGACAAACCTTAGAAGAGCAGCCCTTCCAATCACTTCCCTGCCTCTTGGCTGCTCGAACATGCAGGCCACCCCAGCTAGCCCTTTGGCTTTGAATTTGGGGCATGAGTCAGGCGGCCTCCCTGCATTTTTCAAATTCTAGGGGCACTGATCAAATTCTTTGATTCTATGTTCCCCACTCTGTCTCTCTCTGTCTTTAAAGACATCCTCACTCTCAATCTCTTCCATTTGATTCATGCATTCACAGCCTTCTCTTAAAAGACTGGAGGTCAGTGATGTTCTAATACTGACTGAACTGCAAGTCCTGCCTAGATGGCCTAGCATCCTGTTTTTACTCTGCACCCAGTATTTTCCATGTTGGGGCCTCGGTAGAAATACCGAGATAAGAATCCCATTTTAACATTTTGTTGCAGTAGATGCAGTAGGGTTTTTTCTGGCTCCAGATTCATTCCAACCCAAGATCATGACCCTTTGCAATATAGCTTAGCTGCTCCTCCCATCTGGAGCTGAGGTCTGTTTCTCTACCCATTGCAACTGGGTTGGTTTTGAAATCTGCTTCTTCCACGTAGAATGGAGCGGAAAGTAAGATTAGGCAGCTTCTGATGTTAGGGGTCCTTGCAGCTTCTGCCTTTGCTTTTCTTTCTTGGAATGCTGCCCTAAGACTTCCATCATGAAGAATCCTGGGATGAGAGACCCCATGAAGAGCCAGTCATCCCACACCAGCTACTGGCTGCATTATGGAGGCCAGCCTGGACCTCCCACCCCAGTTGACCCTCCAGTTGAATGCGGCTGCCTGAGTGAGCCCAGACAGAAGCAGCCAAGGAACCACTCACCAGCAAAAGGAATCAGGAGAAATAATAAACAGCTGTTATTTTAAAATACTAACTTACTGGCAGAATATAAGAAATAATCAATGGATGTAGTTTTAAGTCTCTAAGTGTTGGGTGGTTTGTTATATAGAAATAAGTAATGAAAACAGTAGAAAAAGGAAAAATAACCACCGGTAATCCCATCTCATAAGAATGACCCTTCACATCCGTGAGTTTTTCTTTTCAGTGTCTTTTTTCCTACACATATTTTTTCAACATTTTTTCCTGAAAACTTCCAAATGCACATAAAAAAGTGAAATTCCATACCTACCACTTAGATTCCACAATCGACATTTGCTATCCATCTGTCCATCCACCAATCCTTCCCATTTTTGATGCATTTTGAAGCTACAAACATCAGTATCTTTCACCTATAAACATTTTAGCATTCAGTGTATGATGTTTTAAGTAGTTGTAATGATGCATATGTAATTTTGTATCCTGATTTATTCAGTTATTTTGATATTAACTCATTTGAATGTTAACAAACTCTTTGTAAAATTTATTTTTAATGATTGATAATGTACCATTAAGTGGATATACTGTCATTTATTTTTCCATTTTCTGATTGTGGGTATCTATGATAACTCTGCTTTCCCCTTTCCTGTTATTATAAGTTACACATTAAATACCCTCATTTCCAAGTAAAGAAAAAAGGGCAGAGGGCTGAAATGATTCATCTGATTTTCTCTGGGATAAAAGACAGTGTATAATTCTTGTTAAATGAAACATTGTCTTCTCTTGTGGAGGTAATATAATCCTGTACTCAAGAACATGTATTTCGGCATCAGAGGGAGCTAAATTCATCACTTTTCAGTTGTATGAACTTGGTCAAATTCTCTAATCCTGCTTTTCCTCATCTATGAAATGGGGGTAGTGATTGTACCTCAGAGTGTTGCTACAAGGATAAGAAGGAGATCATTCGTGGAAAGCTCCTCAGACTCTGCCTGGCACGGTGTCTTCATCACCACCCTTAGTATCCACATCCAAGAAGTTTTACACACAAAGGTATTTAGCTTCTTTGAAAGGGACCAGGCTGGAAAGGACTTGCATGCTGCTCATCCCATGTGTCCTGGACTCTAATGATACATCTGCACAATTCATCAAGGTCATTGTCTTCATTATTGTCATGATCATTGTTAAGATCATCAGCTTCAGCATCCTACAACAATGGGATGCCCAAACAAGAGGAGAGCAATGAGGTTCTTATGGGATTAGGACCCCTGTGGGGGACAGCACTGCATGGATCACCCGTGGCTGTTCCTCACCCTTTTCCTCTTGCCTCCTAAGGAAAGGAACATTCTGGTCCCAACTGCTCTGCAATGTTTTCTCCTTGGAGAGTGGTGGGAAGCCTCCCTCCTGTGACTCTCCAATGGGGGAGTTATCTCACACCTCTTCTCTGTCCCCTTCTTCCTGTGAACAAGGGTCAGAATCAACATAGGAGGCATGAACTCAATATGGTACCCATGCATGAGCCCAACACACATTTTTCTCGCTGTGAAAAAAGCAGACATGCTCCCATCTTGCATTGTCTTCTCAAAAATTTCAACTCACTTGGTCACGTCTCTTAGGACTTCCAATGTTTTGAGTCGTAAGTTACAACCAGTCCCAAACTTTTGAGAGAAATTTACTACTCTCAATTCAGAATTTTTCTTTCTTTTCACCCCAATTACTCATGGAACAGAGTGGGGCTGGGTCAGGAAAGAGAGAGATCAATGTAAAGTGTTGAGGCTGATGGCTAATGGCCTTTAGATTGCAAAGATTGGGTAAACAGATTTAGCACACTGATTCAACATATTAATTGTTTGTTAACCTTTGTATAACCTTTAGGAAGCCTCTGAATGTGTGGATTTAAAACCCAGAGTACACTCGAGGTATTCCCATGGCACAACCCACTTTTACAAGGTGCTAAAACTCATTAATTTTCTGTTGAAGCTGGGCAGGAAAGGAGGGGTCTGGGGGAACAAAGCATACGAAATAGAGAACTAATCAAGCAAATTAATGTATGCAGAAGGCTTTCTCCCAGGCTTGCAGAAATATCCATTTGTTACCTATATAAGCTATAATTACATAAAATGCAAGCGATGGCGAGATGGAGTGTGATTTAAGGGTTGAGAGAGCAAACATAATAACAATAGCGTAATCCTAATAGCCATCATCACTCTAATAATGTTGGCCCTTGGCTAACGCCCTCGTTTAGGGATCTCTGAGCGTGTTAGCTGCGTTAATTAATCCTCCCGCCGTACGGCTGTTAGGGCTGCTCAGAACTATTACCCCCTCTCACCTCAGGTGAGGGAGAAGGCCACCAGGCTCGCGGCCGGGAAGAGGCTGTGGAGTCCCATTCCCCACCCCACTCCCCTTCCCCTGCAGCCAAGCAAGCTTGCGTGGAAAGCCGGCTCTGGGCTGCCAGGTGACGGCCTTGCTTCTGTGATGCCTGATGGGAGGAATGGATCACCCATGGTCTTTTGGGAATGGAACCATTGAGCCATTCAAACAGATACACTTCAGGTTAGGAGAAGCCGTAAGAGGCATCTTGTTTGCAGCCTTCAAACCTCCTCCAAAGACCACTGCCTGTGCAGTCCTTCAAGTCCTAGAGAAACAAACTGCTGATTCTTTGGGTCCCCTGGGCTTCTCAGCTGTGATGTCCTTAACGTGAGTCCCACTTACTCCAATCCCAGCTGACTTGAGGCTGTAAGTCCTCTCCCTAAGGAAGGGAGTCATATTAACCCTTTATATTCTCACATCAGTGAGTTTTCCCAAAGTTGACTGTTGTGTAATTAGCAATCAGATTATTTTTATGGAAGATGGACCTTTGGAGTCTGCCCCCAGTGTCTGCCCACCCAGAATTTGTAGCTGGTCATTCATCTTGATGTCAATCTGCTTTTCTGAATGAGCCAAGCAAGGGCTTGGGCCTCTTCCTCGGTGTAGGTGGTGTGCGCAGACCCGCAGCCCCTCCCACTGCAGAAGCACCGTCTGGCAGTCCCTTCCTCTCTCCCCCCTGGGCTCTGTCCCTTCCTTCCTGTTCCTCACCCTCACCTTCTCCATCAGGTGCATAAAGCCAGGCTCAGCCACTCTCTAGCTGCGTGACCTTGAACACACTTCTCAGCCTCTTTCTGTCTCAGTTTCATCGCCTGCAAAACAAAGTGTTTGGACAAGATGACTTTCCAGGTTGCTTCCAGGACACAGATTACGAGGTAAAATGACACTTTTGTCCCAGCCCTGCAAGGGGTGGCTGTAGAAGTGAGAGCCCTGTCCTTTTCTGGACAGGGGTGGTACGAAGAGTGGGGTCCCTGGACCCTCACATAGAGTCCTCAAAAGATGCAGCCGCCGTGAAGGTCTCCTGAACCTGGGGTGGGGGTTCAGCCCAGGCCAGCATCCCACACACATCTCCCCAACACGCACGCCCTCTTCCCCAGTTTCCACTGAGTGGGACCTTCTCCCCTCCACTCTGTGACCTTGACCAACAGAAGTGATGGAAGACATCAGCTTCTTAAAGCTCTTCCCTACTTCTTGGTTAGAAGCAAACCCAAATGGCCATGACAAAAACAAACAAAAATCTCACCTTAGAAACTAATCAGAAATGTCTTCGAACGAGTCATGGAAAAGCACCGGAGTGGGCTGTAGCCGTGGCGCCTAGGCAAGGCGCCGAGCCTCCCTTCTTCCTGTTTCTCAGCCGGATGCCTGGAAAGGCCGCCTCCTGCTCCGGTGTCGAGTGGGGCGGCGGGGACGTGTGTGCTCCTGCACGCAGCGGCCACGAGGGAGGGCTTCTTGCGTGCCAGGCTCTTTGTGGAGGGCTTGACTTGCACTGTTTCTCCAATACTCCAACTGCCCTATAGGGTTGGCATGATTACACTCCCCATTTTGTAGCTGGGGAAACTGAGGCTCAGAATGTAACTTTCTCTAAGTCACATATAGTGAGTGTCAGGGCAGAGATTTGTACTCAGGCTCACTGTTGCCAAATCATGACAAGGTGGCTGTCTCCTAAATGCCTATATTAATATTGCCTGTATTAACCGGGACTGTTCATTGAGTGCTGAGAGTGCACCAGGCACTGAGCTCTTCTATACATATCTCATCTAAATCTTTCAACAACCGCATGGGGTAGGCACTGTTACCCCCAGGCCGGAGTGGAGAGAACCAAAAAGCTCAGAGACACAGAGGACTTTGCCCGAAGTCACAACCAAGACGGAGGAGCTGGCCCCAAAGCCTGATCACACTCCAAAGTTCATGCTCAAAACATATTGATGTTTGTCAAATGTATATTTTAATTTTTAATTCACGTGAGTAAAGCACATTTTTATTATAAAAATTTTAAAGTGTAATGTTTAAAATCTCCTTTGCAAGCCTCTTCCCACCATCCCTTCTGCCTAAACCTTCCAAAGGTACCCCTGCCTGTGTTGTTTGTCTATGTATTCGCTCGTGCACCTGTATTTAGATATTTAGGGTTCTTTTTAACATAATGCTATTATGTTGTATGTGTTGGTTCTTGACCAGTTTGTTTTCCTCTTAACCATCTGTCTTAAAGGTCTTTCCACATCAGTAGGTGTCGATTCACTTCATTATTTTTTAATAACTGTAGAGTGTTCCGTTGTATGGAGGTACCATCGATTTCCCTAATGATGAGTATCTAAGGTGGTTTCTCCCTTTTTTATCATGAATCATGTTGCCATGAACACCCATATGATGTCTACAACTTTGCACACATCTATACCATTGCTGTGGGGTGGATTCCTGGGATGGCCTGGTCAAAGGGTGTGTACATTTGTATTTTGATTAACATGGACATGTTGTTTTTGAAAAAGCCTTTACGCCCCTCTCCACCACCACGTGAGCATGCCTGTTCCCCACATCCACACCAGAACTATGCCTCTTCCAGCTTTACCACTTTTGTCTCTCCGAGAGGCTCTTGCTAATATCCACTAACCCCCCTGCCTCATTTCCCTGCCTAAGAACCCCTCGCCCATCCCACCTTCAATTTCCTGCTGTCCAGCTTTGGTGACCACACCATAGTCCTAGAGTGGGGCCTATCCCCTGGGTGACAAGTTGCTCCTTACAGTGAAATCTGGGGACATCACCAGCAACCACTGTTTAATATTTATTGGGAACCTGCTGTGTGCTGGGCCCACACAGCAACCAAGACCTCTGGGAAGAAAACATGCAGTGCTCTGAAAGGCAGAGATTGCTTAATAAAAAGCGACAGCCCCATCAGAGGCCACAGGGGTACTACTGTTTCCCTGGGCTTCTGTGTGCTCCTGGTGAAGCAGGTGGGGGTGTGTCCCCCTCCGAGAAGCCACATTAATACGGCAGCTGGTCTCCTACAGGATGTCTGTGCAATTCGATGGAGCTCATCACTTTTCGGTCTATGAGCAATTAAATTGCACCAGGAAGCCCTGTATCTTCATATCGTCCCCTAATGACTTGTGGGGGGAGGGTGTGCATACAAAGGGCCCACATCCGTGGTGAATTGGCAAAGTTATCACCTTTCTTCAGAGGCCAAATGTCCAGTGCACCTCCAATTCCCCCACCCCTGCCAAGACCAGAGAACAACTGGCTTTGTCCCTGGTGTGCACCTCTGGAGTTGAATGTCATTGGCAAAGCCCATAATTGCTGGCAGAGACAGCCACCTATTTTTGTCTTTCTCAGACTCTGGTACCTTTAACCCGGCCCACTCCCACTCCCACTCCCCCACCCTGCAGACTTTTGTTTCCCCGAGTCTTATCCCAGGGCCTGTCAGATGACATTTTTTATTGCATCAAGACAAAAAGCCATCTGGAGCTCCTGGTCTCCACTGTCAGTGGGCTGCTGTTCCCAGGCTCTCCCGCCAGGCCCCCGACTGAGAGTCGCCCCCCACCCCCACTCTTACATCCCCCCACCCCCGCTCGGGTGCCTTTGTCCCTCACTGCCCTCACCCTGTCGCTGGGATGTAGCGTACCTTGTTGTGGCAGAACAATGCGGGCTGTCAGCTTTTATTAAGCGTGTCGGGGAAAGAGCCACGGCTTCAGGTGGCTGAAAGCTTACAAATTCTTCATTTGGTTCTACGAGCCTGGGGTCTCTCGCCTGGTGGCTGATATACTTATTTTAGGCTGCTGCGATTCCTCTTTTCCTTTCTTTTTGCTCCCCGCACCTAAATAGCACTCCAGGAGAGAGCCTTTGTAAGGTCATGGACACGCGTGGGAGATACACTTGTCCTCTTTAGCCCAACAGCCCCGCAGGCAGCAGATCAGCGGGTGCCGGTGGGGAGGGCTGGGAGGTGCAGGGGTGGTGCGAAGAAAGGGAGGCCACCGTCCCTTCCCCAAGCTGGGCAGGGCGCCAGGAGTTCTGCTTGCAGCTCAGGATGCACGCACGCGCGTACGTGTGCTGCTATCGCGGGCCCAGCGACCTCTAGCATCCCAGCATCAAGAGGGAGGGTCCCAAGTGGGAAGCACAGGTCTCTCTGCTGAGAAGTGTGCCTTTGGTGGGCAGGGGGGGATCTGCCCTGGGATGGAGTGCAGGTGGGGCTGCTGGGGTCCCCCTGGCAGAGCTCCGCAGGAGTCAGGTGTGTTCGGGGAAGCTGTGTGGCTGGCAGGTAAGAGTGTGGCCACCATGCTTTGCAACCTGGGCTCTGCCTGGTGGGAGACATGTGGCCTTGGGCAACAGGCGTGACTTCTCAGGGTTCCCAGCCATGATAATAATCATATCTACCTCATTGGGCTGACGTGAAATTGGAAGAGATGCCGCTGTCAAGCTGTAAGCGTCATGCTTTGCTCACAGTAAATGCTCAATAAACTATGGTTGTCGGTATTATCTCTGGGCCAGGCTTCAGACTCCAGGCCCCACTTTCTTGGCTTGTACTTGGCAGTGATATCATTTATCTTTGTAGCCCTGGGGTAGACAGTCACCCCGGGGAACTCTCCCCCACAGCAGGCCCCAGGGGTCTCCTCTGGGCCACGAGGATGTGCCCTCTGGGTGTCCTCTGAGGGCCAGCTCCTCCCCCTACACCGCATGCTCAGGGAGGCACCTCACAATCCTTTCCCTCTCAGATTGCTTCGGGATGGCAGAAAGTTGCAGAAAGGTCAGTAAATCAAAAACAGCACGCCTAAACTGCAACCCAGCAGGGCCTCCGCCTTCAGATCCCACCGAGCTCTGAGGGCAGCTCGGACTCTTACTTAAATAACTCAGCAATCGGCCTTTCCAGCCGAAGCCTAAACAGAAGCGTAAAGCTTGATGCGTTCCTTGTTCTCTCCTCTCATTTGACGTTAACCTGGACGTGGCTTTGAGCTGAGCGAGGGGCACCGTGCTCGCGTCACCCAGCGAATACCTGGCCATGGACGGGCACCCGCCCCGTCACCCTAGAGGGGCGTGGTGGGGTACAGGGGAGCTCATGGTTTCTGAGCATGTACATTTTCGGTTTAATTCTCACCAAGTCCTATGATGCAGGTTTTATCACCCTCATTTTACACACGAATAAGTGGAGACTCAGAGAGGTGAAGAAACTAGCACGAGGCCTTAGAGGCACGGGAGTCGTGAGGCTCTGTCCCTAAATCTATCCGGCACCAAATCCGCGCCTTTCACTCCCTGCCAGCACCTGCAGCAGCCTTTAATGAATCACCTAAGAAAGGCAGACAGGATACTTGTCAAGTTTAGTCAACAGTTAACACGTTTAAGTGTTCGGTTTTCACAAATGACCCGCTGGCTTGACCACAACTCGTGCAGCCAGTACGTAAAGACACCCAGACAGGCAGAAGCCGGCGCGCAAAGACATGCGGCATCTTTTCCAGAACACCGAAGTTGCTTTGAGGCCCAACCTCTCACTAATGACCCCAAACCGCTTTGGGGAACAATCCTTTTTAAAAATGAAGCTGGTTGCAAACTTGCAGTGGACAGATACAGCCCCGAGTTGTCTCACAAATCTTTCTTTAATGAGCACAGGAGTGGACACGCTGCACCGTGTTGACTGTGCTGACGTTGCTGGAATATTCCGGAGTCTGAAGGCGTGTATGGCTTTGCGTTTAAATACTTTTATAGCAGAAACTTCCCTTATTTCCAATGAGGTCATGGCAGGAAAACACAATGGTTGGCACAGGGCTATGGACGTGGTTAAAAGTGAACCTTGTCTGTAGGATGCACAGATTTTCACATGAGCCCGCTGCAGAAAACAAAGTCTTTTCCATCTCTGGTCCTCAGTTTTTTTCTAAGGTTAGACAATCAAACTAAAATGGTTTCTAAGATCCTTCCTAGACTCACTTTTCTATTAGTGTAATGTCGTGTCTCAATACCAGGCACCTTTGAAGATGATATAAAACGTGACTGTATGATATGACACCAATAATTTTTCTGAGCTCTTGCCATGCACCCATCTCTGCCCTATGCCACTTTTAATTGCTGTTTTTAAAATGAGGAAATTGAGGCCCAGAGTCGAATAACTTGTCTGAAGTCGCACAGGTAGTAGGTGGCAGGGCCAGTATTCAGAAAGGCAGTTTGGCTTCCCGACTCCCGGTGTTTGCTGTGGCCAGGTGGACCATGCACCTACTCAGAGCTGGCAGCCCATAGCTGTCACTGGAGGGCCACCGAGCAGCCGCCAGACCTCTACGGCACCCACACAGACAACACTCGGGCAGAAAAATTAAATGAATATGTTATCAAGGGCACAAGAGCAATCACTTGACACTCGTCTAATTCAGCCCTGTCTCAGATTCCACAGCGCAGGTGCGAGAGTGAGGCTCTTCTCTTTACTCTTAACGCCTGTATTGCCTCGAATGAACTTACCCGCTAACTGGTCACGCACGTGTCCGTCCCTGCATTCGGATCTGGAGCAGAGAGTGCTGGGCTGGAGATCCGGACCAGGCTCTTGCATTGGCTCTGCCGCTCGCCAGCGCTGTGACCTCGGCAGCTACCAGTCTCTCCAGGCCTCGTGGTGCTTATTTGCACCAAGGCAGGTGGATTACAGTAATGTCACAAACTCCAAGCTTGGGGACAAATTGGATTTTATTTAGTATGCACCCTGGGGTTTTTATTTATTTATTTTTTTTATTTGAACGAGTTGCCAACAATTAAAATAAAGAGTGTTCACATAAAAACCTGTCTTTGGAATCTCATGAAAGCTGTGAGATCTGGTGGATTTGAGCTCCCCTTCCCATAGTGCAAAGAGTAGGGGACAGGTCACTGCTGTCTTTGCGGGCAGGCCCACGCTCTGTCTTGCACCCACGCTGCGTGGGTTCACCCTTCGCCCACTCCCCGGTTTATGTTACTTCCAGGCCCCATCTGTCTTCGTAGCCCCTGGGCCCCATGGTCACCAAGGCGCTGGT